AGAATGGTTATAAGTGATTCCTTCTTCTTTTGTTGCCATTGTTGCCAATAAGTATCGAAAAATAGTTTTTCTACTGACGTTTCATAATAGCAACTTTTCGATTGTCATTTCAGTTTTGAAACGACATTCTTTTAAGCATTGAGTGCGTGAAAGTTACTTTTAAGCACTCAGTGCGTAAAAGTGACTTTTGAATGCGTAAAAGTGACTTATGAGTGCGTAAAAGTAATTTTTAAGCACTAGGCCTAAATGTGTCATTCATTATTCAGAAATAAAAAACACACTAAACACATATTTGAATTTTGTTTTGTATTTATTATTAATATTGAAAATGGAATTACTGAATTGAACGTTTGGGTTACTCAAAACAGAACTTTGTGTTATTACCTACTTTCTAGGATTTTAATTATTGATGTCGAATTTTGAAAAAAAAATCGCATGAATAGTGTCAGATGTCAAGTAAAAGCAGGTAACAAAGATTTTGGGTGTAATCGACTTATTCACATGAAATAAAATTGTGTTTTTTTATTATAAAATGCCAGTAGAAAAAATCTTGTATACAATACTTTACGAAACGATGTCTTTTAGTCACTCGACGTGTTGTCCAACTCGGCTTTGCCTCGTTGGACAATTTTCACGTCGCGTGCCTAAAAGACGCTCATTTCGTAACTTATTGTATAAATAGCTATTTCCTACGAGCGTGCGCAAAGTAGTACTTTTCCGCACGCATTTCCGGACTCAAAGTTACACTTTTCCGCACTCAGTGCGGATACAGGCCTTATCCGCACTGAGTGCCGAAAAGTAAAAATAATTGTCAAGCAACAATAAATGCACCTGTCGACTTTGACACATGGTGACAAATTTTTCCTCTGTTTCTATATCAGCCAACATCAATACACACACCAAATATAAATTAACCTTGACACATTGTCAGATTTGTTCTCTATTTATATGCAAGAATTTACAAACTTTATCATCAAATTTAAACGCTTCAAGATGAACAGCTCTGACGAGGACTTTTCTTTTTTTTTTTGTTAGGTAATTTTTTGATAAATGTATAGGTTCGCTTCAAGTTAATTAAAAATAATTGGACAAATTATCGGTATTTTTTTAAAAATTTTTTGTTACCTTCGCGTCGTTCGTATAACTGTGTTTGCGTGCGGAAAAGTAACACTTTGCGCACTTGTTAGGAAAATAACTATTCTCTACTTGCGTGCGCAAAGTTTAACTTTGCGCCCTCATATTTTTGTTACGCATAGTTACCGCATTTCGACTCGATTTTTCAATGTTTTGTGGGTTTCTGGATAACTTCTATTCAGAAAGAAGGGCCTGATGTTATTTTTGTTCCAAGAAAGGCATTCACGTAATGTTTAGCTTTTTTAATTTGACACTTTCCGTATGAGGAGCGAGGGGAGGAAAAATTCAGCAAAAACAGATGCGAAGTCATGTGAACATTGGCATGGAGAGCCACTAACTCACATTCCTTTTAGAGTATCAGATTATAAAGGCTGGATTGTAAGTTATACTCGTCCATACCAAAATTTTGGCAAGAAAAACAAACTCAACGACTTGTTCAAATTTTAAGTAAACCTCGCTAGCACCACAACCAATGTTGCAAGTAAAATCAAGCTCATCACTGAAAAAAAAAAAAATGAAAACACAACACATTGAACTAAGAGAGCAAATTACCAATTTTGTGCACCTGGAAACATTTAAGAAGATTAGGTACAGCTCCTCTGGATGCAAATCTTCAAACACTCGTAGAAAAAGTATTGTTTCTAACACTTCCGCAAAGTATCTTTCCCGCACTCAAAGTTTATCTGAACTCCGGTTCGCGTCTTTCGTCTAATCGTCTTACTACTTTTTCGTGCGGGAAAGTATCATTTTGCGCACTTGTTAGGAAAATAACTATTTCACATTCACTACATCCTTATTTGAGGGTTTTTCAATAGTGTTCCTACTCTTTATGTCCGTAGGACAGCGCTTTACCTGTTCTAAGGTTTAATTAGATTTATTGCATTATTTTTTACGTCGGTTGATGCATTGATGAGCAGTCTATCTTTGTCTAGTTCATGGAAAATCGAAATGACTCTCTCATAATGGTGGATAATTTGAAGAAAAAAAAGCGCCTCTTGTAGGTACCCCAATCTCAAAGAAAACAAATTAGTTAATTGTCAATAGTGTCATTCCTATTCCTGCCAATATTTTTAATATTCCCATTTTTTATGGCAACATTGAAAATCAGCAGTCATCAAATAAAATTGCGATCCTGTTTAACCACGCAGGCTACGTGAATGGGCCATATTAAAAGAAGGGAAAACCGTGGAGGAATTTATGAGCAATTTTTGTCTGATCTAGGGATATTTTACTTTAGAGTAGGGATTTTTCACATCAGTGAGTTGGCATCACTGCACCCACTTTCAGAAAATGGGAATTATCCAGCGCCCCCCTTGGCAGGGATCTAAGATATTGAAGCGGCGCCTTTTTTTTTGAAAATTTTCATGGTCGCGGCGTGCATTTTCTTACCTCCTCAGTAGGATTTTGTCAGAAAATGACCGAATATGGAAATTTTGAGAAAAACTTGATACAGCACACTTCAGATTGCATAAGAATGCATTTTTGTTTCATCTTATTTCTAAAATGTTGGGGGTTGAGCGTTAAGTTAGACCCCCAATAGGATTTTGCCTGAAAATTACCCAATATGAAAATTTCGAGAAAAGCCTGATACAGCACAGTCCAGCACACGTCAGATTGCATAAGAATCTATTTTTGTTTCATTTAATTTTCCAAAATTTTGGGGGGCTGAGCGTCAAGTTAGCACCCCCAGTAGGATTTTGTCAGAAAATGACCAAATATGAAAATTTTGAGAAAAACATGATACAGCACAGTTCAGCACACTTGCGATCGCATAATAATTCATTTTTGTTTGATTGGATTTCCAATATTTTGGGGGGGCTGAGCGTCAAGTTAGCCCCTCATCTTGTTTTTCCTTTAACTTTGGTATCAGAACGGCACAGTTCAAAGTGGTTGCAATTTTGTTAGAAAATACGAATGGGGGGGGGGGGGGGCTTACTTGACGGAGCTTATTTTTGGGCTTTTTGAAGTTATTTATAAAAAGTAAAATACAATAACTTCAATGCAGCTGCTGCAAATCAATGCGTGTATTGGCCGTATCGCATTTTAAGCAAGTCATAGGAGACTTAGTTGAGGTTAGGGATGTTACGCTGGAACTGGACCTGTTCTTTTGGAATAGGTATGGCCTGCCTGTTCCGTGAACCTATTACCAAATATTAGGTTTACCTGTTCCGAGTTCGCAGAGCAGGTGCTGGCACGTCACGTGTTTGCCCTAAACTAAAGCTGCTTTCTCACGTTAACTTTTTTGAAACAGGTTTGAGATAATATATTCTCGCGATGAACTCATGACGTCACATCAAAATTGGTTCAAACCCTTTCGAAATACAATCCAATCCACATTCTAAACCCATTTTCTTGCGCCGAGAAATTATGACGTCATTGTGAAACTGTTTTAAACAAGTTTTGAAAAATGTTTCAAAACTTTGAGGCGCCAGAAAACACCTCTAGTATATTAATTCAATGAAATAGTAGATTCAACTACTACACTGGATTGCCACTTGCCAGCATTCGAAACATCAATCGGTATTCGATTTTAATAAAAGACACATTTATTACCCTCTAATAATAGCGCTAGCCACCCGTTGACCACGTGAATCACTGAGTTTGATAGGAAATACTTTGAAGCTGGAACAGGTACTTGGAATAGGTTTGTGTTGGGAGCAGGTACAGGTCATACTAGGTACAAGAAAAAGCTATTCCATAACATCTCTAGTTGAGGTGCGTGAGGGTTTCGAGATTTGCGTCGGAACTCTCGGGTTGCGTTCATAACTTGACGCTTGCCAAAATGACTCTGAAAGGGATAGACATAGACTGACTATGAGCCTTATTTTTATAGTATTGAAGAGTAATTTCCGTAAAAAGCCATTTACTATTTAATTTTAATTTTTTTTCTGATCTGTTCGTTCATTTTCCATCGCCCACTAATTTCTGCTTACCACACCCCAAAATCAGCTGAGCTCTTTACCGCCCCCCGAGATGGTTGTAGCGCTCACTAGGTGGCGTTATCGCCCACTTTGGGAACCACTGGGCTAGATACTAGTTAAGGTTGTATCAATGAACTATAACCAAAAACTTGATTGCGCATACATTGCTATATCTGCCAAAAAAATGAAGCCATGAAAGACAGATGCCACAAAGGGGAATGTTGTTTTTCTCTGTTGCTCGCTGACATATGACGTTTTCGAAAATTTTGTCATATTTACCTTCACGGGTTTCATCAATTGGAATACGCGTTGGAAGCAATTTCTGCTATTTAACATAATGAGTGCGACAAAAACAGGTATCCCCTCCGCAGCAGCGGCACTAGGCTTCACGTTCGTCAATATGTGTGCGCATTCCAGTTTTTGATTATAGTTTATTGGGTTGTATAGCTGTGAATTTCACGTGGATAAACGAACCCTAATTAAGCCACTATTCATTGAAGTTTAACCCAACTTAACCCAAGTTAATTGAAGTTAACCCTAATTAAGCCAATAATGCCCGATTGCACGATCTCTCTTAACTGAGGCTTAACGATAACTATCCCTTAAATTGACAGTTTTGCATGGGAAAATGTCACTTTAAGGAATAGTTATCTCTAAGCCTCGGTTAAGAGAGACGGTGCAATCGGGCATAAGTGAGTTCCGAAGTGGCAAGTATTGCTTTCTTTTTCAATCGAAAGTAGAGGACTTGGATACTGGATAGTAAAAATACATGAGAATAAGTTTTTACTAACGCTTTTTGGTTTAGCCGATACATACCTAGAATTACAGCTTTCATTGTGATCATTGTTTGACCAACCGGTATTTAGCTCGAGAGATCACAATAATCTACTGGTATTTGAAAAACAACCCATTGTCTGCCCAGGAGTTCTGAATCTACGGAAGGAATTCGGACGTAAATGAGGTAGGTATAGTTCATGTGAAAATTCATTTTTTAATAACAAAATATAGATAACAATGCAACGCTAAATATTCTAACGTGGTTGTTAGATCTATTCTTATTTTAATAACTGATTTCTTCTATTTTGTCTAATGTGAAAAATAAACATTTTCCAAAGATTCCATCAGGTTTTGTCAATTTGGCAAGTATCCGACCTGGATGAACCACGGGAAACCATGCGGTTGTCAGTGGGCTAACATCACCTTACATCTCGCTATTGGCCAAGGCTACCGTAAATTATCCTTCCATCTTGAAATATCGATTTATATTGAAATATCGATTTATATTGAAATATCCAGTGGCGAGGGTTTGGTCGTTGTCAATTTTTGTGTACGAGTTACAATACAATATTACACTTCCATAAAGTTCCGCACGCAGCTTGGTATTTTATGAATGAAATCAGCCATTTTTTTTACAACTGCATTCTCCTCACCGTTGCCCCGTTGACTCAGAGTCGCTGGGCAGACATTAAAATTAGGGAGCTGTGGCTGTGGGACAAAAAAAACATACAAATAGGTTGAGAAAACTTTTATCAACCCTGAATGAACAACCAAAACCTTTTACCAAATCACCAGCGACGTCGACCTAAATAGGTGCAATAACAACTTCAAAACCAGCGTGCATGGACTTAGGTCGGTAATTATGCTGGGTATGGTTTAATCTATTTATCTATGTGTTCATTTATTTATAGATATGTATTTCATTTTCTTTTTGGTGGCCCCAAATGATCTACTTTAATTTCGTCAGATATTTTTTCTGCAATCATAACAGTTACCGCATTCGGGTGCCCGGAAATATGATCCGGCATCACTCCAGCATCCACTACTCTTAAATTCTGGATTCCGTGTACCTTTAGTTTTGAATTTACAACTGAAGTTTCAGGATTGGGACCCATTCTTGTTGTACTTATCGGATGAAAAAGCTAAAAAATATTATCTAATAAATTACCTACTTATCAATTTTTCAAAAATTGTTTTTACCGTGGAAGATAAGGTTTTCAGAGCGCAAAACCACCATGGTTTGGACATTTTTTCGAATTTCGAATCGCAAGTAGGATATGGAATACTTATCAGTTCTAGACCTAGACTCTTAAAAGCTTCGGTTTCGTTCAGTTTCAAAGCCACCTTAACCCCTTCATACATTAGCTCAAGATCAACACCTTTTGGATCTGAAAAGTAGTTGGGGTCAATGAGCGGGAAATCTCTAGGGTCTTTTGAGTTAAGGGTTACACTCCCTTCGGATAACGGGTGAAGAAGTTCTATGTTGACATTTATGTCACTGTATGGGTTTAAGGTTTTGAAGCTCTCAATATACTCATCTGTGTATCTAAAATCACAAAAAAATGCAAACTAGTTTTTTTTTAAGCCGTAAAGGCTCACCCTAAAATTGCTGCGAGGTGGTAACTTATTAACGGTGGTCCAAAAAAGAAAAGTTCGATTTCTGGTACAGTTCCTTCAAGGCCAAGGAAATTCCAGAAACTTACTATTTGTTGACCCATGCTGGGAGTAAGTGGTCGTTTGTTCTCTGTCCATAATTTTACATTTTCTAGGATTGAATTGTGATAAAATTCGCGTTTGGGTCTGCAACAAAATCAATTTACTGAAGTGCTTTTGTAAAAAAATTGAAAGATACCTATAAAATATTCCTGGAAAAAATTGGTGGTCTTGTAAATATTTTCCAACGGGTAAATCTGCTATGAGCTCTATGCCATGTTTTGCTAGTTCTTCTTTTGGTCCAATTCCAGATAACATCAAAAGCTGAGGTGAGTTAATTGCACCTGCTGATAAAATCACCTCTTTGCTTGCCTTCGCCGTGCATTCTTTACCGTTCTTTAAATATTGAACACCAAAAGCCGTGTTACCATTTATAAGAATTTTGGTAACGTAAGAGTTAACGCTAATTTCAAGATTTCGACGATTTTTTACTGGTTTAATAAAAGCATGGTTTGAGCTTGCGCGTATATTTTTATCCAAAAAAAATTGCAATCTAGCTACACCGTCTTGTTCTTTTCCGTTATAGTCGGTTTCATTTTTGCCAAGTTCTATGTGAGCCTTCATTAAGGCCTCAGTCTAAAACAAATAGCGATATCAGCCAAAAATCATTACCATAACATACCTATTTCTTACCAACAATGGTGTATCTTCAGGTACACTAATCTTCTGAGGTCCATCGAAACCATGATAATCACGATCGGCATTATCAAAAGTCGCATGTTCTGCTTTTTTGAAATATGGCAAAACGTCAGCATATGACCAACCAGGATTACCTAAAGATGCCCAATGGTCGAAATTTTGCCTGTGACCTCTAACGTACATTCCAAAGTTGATGGAACTGCTACCGCCTAACATTTTGCCTCTGGGATATGCGCATTTATTGTCTCGTGAACCTAAAGGAGAATTTTATTGATTTTTGAGAAAGAAAGGCTAATTTAAAAGCTAAATTTTGGCTGATTTTCGGATGGACAAAATGAGTGGTTCAATATGTTGGTTCTAGTTTCTGTTTTTAGACACAAATAGTCGGCTACAAATAAGATATCTTACCTAAACACATGTTTTTTTGCGCAGTCGTGTTATAGCCCCAATTATAGGGAGTACGATGCAAGTAAATACTGACAGCTAACATATCTGACAATTGCGGTGGTTCATCTCCAGCTTCTAATGCCAGAACTGTAAAATCTTCTTCTTCTGTTAATCTATTTACCAACACTCCACCAGCCGTTCCGGTTCCAACAATTATAAAATCGTACTCCTTTTCCTCTGAAAAATGATGAAGTTGGATCGTGATCAAAATAAAATAGTTATTTGTATGCTAAAACCGCCAAATAACGTTTTAGCGTTCTCAAGAGATAATTTATTGCCAATGCCTCTTAGTCTAGTCAAGTTTTCCAAAAACTGAAATTTTAAAATCACTTCATATTACTTTTGGGCAAAATGCCTTTTCCCCCTATTTTGACACAGCTGAATCCGAAAATTCCGGTTGCCCAAGTGAAATCTCGACCGGAAGCAAAGTTTAGGAAGTGAGTTATCCAAGATGGCGCCAAAACTCGCTATCGGCGCTGTATAGCCTCCCTTTGAAATAGAAATGCGTCCAAAATGTCTAGTACCTATTACCCATTTGTCTTGGAACTGATTGTTGGACCAGTTCCTGATGTTGGTTTTCCCCACGCAGAAAGTAATCTCAAGTGCAGATTCTCGTCGAATAAAGGCAGTGTTGCTAGATTCATGCGCCTTATGCTGGTCCACCTTCTCGTTGATTTTTATGCCCGTGTGATCTGGGACCCAAACAAGAGGGTGATCTTGTTGAACCCAATGACTAGTTCCAGAGTTGTCATACAGTCAAATAGTTCACCTTGTCTGAGCAGAGGTGTCGGAGTGCTGCCTAACTGTCGCTGCATACATAAATATGCTCACCCGAGTAACCTCTCTGGACATTCTCCTAAGCTCACATCTGTATGGCATAGATCTCAGTCTGGTATACCGTTGAGTATCGACCCAATGTCAGACTGGTTCTCGCCACAGGTATTTCCCCATATACACCAGCCCTTGCATCCTTTTCCATCAGAAATCCTCCTGTGAACCAGAAATGAGCCCCTTGGGTTTGAGGAAAGCTGGGTCAGGTTCTAGCCAGTCGCCCCCCGATGACGACCTTATAATGTCTACGGGGCGCTAAAGTTTCTGGCATTGCATCCCTCCTGGTCAGAAGGAGGTCCTGTCTGTCTGATAGTATCAGTCCAGGCCCTTGCATGTCCCATGTTTAGCCCACTCACGGGCCCGTGTCTTCATAAAGAGATGAAGAAACATTATTCCCAATATAGCCTCCACCATAGAGATTACCAGCGTTTGAGTGGTTCTAAAGACTCGAATTGTAGCCATGGAGGTAATAGCCGGAGAGCCAGCGCCGAAAACATTCTCTGAATTTACTAAAGCCAGTTTTTGGTCAGTTGATTACAGTATTTACGTACATAAACATTCCTCGGCCAGTCAAGCGAAACTTGGGACAAGGACCTAGGGTGTCTGGTTAAAGTTGTCCAGATAGCTAGGTAATGCAACGAATTTACTAAGGCTGAAAATCGCTATACATATTATAATAGGATATTAAAGTATATGTGGATATTAAGGTCTTTAAAACAGGCGCGATTTTTCGAGCACGACGGCGCAGCCGGAGTGCTCGAAATAGAGCAAGTTTTTTGAAGACCAGTTATCCACGAATACTTTACACTATTTTTTTTTATTGGTATACGTCCAAACCATAAATTACTAATAATTGGAGAATGCTAAATTCGTGCTTAACACTTGTTATATTTTATTTGACGTTATCTACAAGTACCTAACCTACTCCTAACAAATCAATAATTAAAAAGTTGACATTTAGACTTGTTTGGGTTGTTGATGTTGTCATGATAACTTTAAAACACGCTCGTTTTTGAATGTTGGATTTAAACACGCTGAGGAGTACTTTATAGTATATTAAAGTATAAGTGGATATTAAGGTCTTTAAAACACGCGCGATTTTTCGAGCACGACGGCGCAGCCGGAGTGCTTGAAATAGAGCAAGTGTTTTAAAGACCAGTTATCCACGAATACTTTACACTATTTTTTTTTATTGGTATAAGTTCAAATCATAAATTACTAATAATTGTAGAATGCTAAATTCGTGCTTGTTATATTTTATTTGACGTTATCTACAAGTACCTACTCTTGACAAATCGATAATTAAAAAGTTGACATTATGACTTTACCTTTCTTAAGCCTAGTACTCATAACAGCGAAACTCGCTCTTTTTTGACATTGCTTCGACAATTTGATGTTAAATGCGTGATTCAAACGTCAAATTGTCAGAGCAATGTCAAAAAAAAAAAACGAATTTCGCAGTTATAAGAACTAGGCTTTAATTGGGTTGTTGATGTTGTCATGGGTAACTTTAAAACACGCGCGTGGTTAAATGTTGGATTGAAACACGCTGAGGAGTACTTTAAATAAGTAAAATAGGTTATCATTTAAAAAAAATAAGTAAAACAGGTTATCAATAAAAAAAAGATAAAAGTCAAATTGACATTATGTTGGCAATACAATGTAAAATTGTCATGATTTCAAATTTTTTATGTAGAAAAAGCTTGTGTTGCCTAACATAGTTACTAAATTTTTGACTTGGGGAATTATCTTTAAAAAAAAACATACTTTAAATAACACATTGATGTTTGTCAGTCAGTTGAATAGCGGAACTGGGCCGGTCATTCAGCCCCATTGAGGTAGTTCAGCCCCAATTTATGTGAAAAAAATAATAAGTCTATTTTTTTTTTAGACTGACAGCGTGACAGTGACAATTCAAAATTGTAGGTTGAAGTTTAAATTAATAGATTTGTTCAGTAATATTGATATTTTTTGCAAATTTTTACATTTATTGGGGCTGACTGACCAGCACGGTCCCGCTATTCAACTGACTGACTAGCACTACTGTAATTTATATGTTATATATAATATGTATAACGATTTTCAGCTTTAGTAAATTCGTTGCATTACCCAAGTTATCTCAACACCTTTAACAAGACACCCTGGGTCCTTGTCCCAAGTTTCGCTTGACTGACCGCGGTATGTTTATGCAGGGTCGGCGCAAGCGACTTTGGCGCCCTAGGCAAATGTACTGTCTGACGCCCCTATCAAGTAAACATACAAAATATGCATGGCTATTTTTAAGAACATGTTTTATAGTTTTATTAATGATTGTACGTAATATAGATATACCTGACTTACAGAATATAGATCATAGAATATCAACATAAAAAAATATACAATACAAATGCCCGCCGCTGTTCTGGTGCCACGCCCAAAACGTTAATTTTGTGTCAAAAATATTCATAATATAAAATAAGTACCTAGTTTTTGGCTGCCCGTCACCCGATCGCACGACCCCTATAGCTACTAGCAGAAACAGGTATAGCAGTATATGTGCTCATAAGAAGAGGGCAAAGTTTGAGTTTGGGTTTGCAAGAGAAATGGAATCCTGAATATCATGAAGAAAAGCCGCCCTAGGCGACCGCCTAGTTCGCCTAATGGTTGCGCCAACCCTGTGTTTATGTACGTAAATACTGTAATCAACTGACCAAAAACTAGCTTTAGTAAATTCAGAGAATTTTTTCGGCGCTGGCTCTTAGACTATAAGTACATAGAGAAATATAATAAACCAAGGTGAGAGTTACCGATTCTGTGGTGCGACACTGGCATCGCGATGACGTCAAATCGATACTAGCGCCCCTATCCACTACAAGATAAACTTAAATAATATTTGGCGGGCTTTTTGGATTTTTAAATTAAAGTTTTATTATTTTTCTAGCCCAGCGTTTTTCCGCAGTCGACAGAAAAAAAAAAATGCGGAGAAACGCTGGCCGGGAAACAACAATAAATAATCAAAAAATGTTCAGGAAGTAATCTATATATTTTGATCTTTGACATTTAACAAAGAATAAAAAAAATTAAATTATACATAAATATAACTTTGTAACTAATAATATGCAAAAAAATTACAACAAAAAAAAGCAAAAACAGTAGGTAATGGTAGGTTAATATTTAATTATCATTCTTTATGCATGAACTTAACGATTTTCACATTCTAAATCTTACCAGAATCATGTATTTTTAATAAACTAATCAATTTTAGGTTGACTAATTTCTGTCAGTTTTGAAAAATGAAAATGTCAATTAATAGGTTAGAAATCGCAATGTAATAAATAAAAAACCCTATGTCCTCTCACTCCTCTCTTCCTTTATTATGACATCTCTTAAAAAGCGACAGATATAAGAATGCAAGGCGATGTCAGAATTGTCAGAAAGTTCCAAGCTATACTAGCGCCACCAGGGGCTACAAGAAATAAAGTCTGTTTTTTTTTTAAAGATAATTCCCCAAGTCAAAAATTTAGTAACTATGTTGGCAACACAAGCCTTTTCTACATAAAAAAATTGAAAGCTTTGACAATTTTACATTGTATTGCCAACACAATGTCATTTTGACTTTTATCTTTAAAAAAAAAAAACAGATTTTACGTTGCCACTTGGCGCATATGAAACGGTAAAGCTACAGTGACTTTATTACCACAGTGGCGACAATTGCGGTCTCATTTTTGATTGGTTCAAAAATCCCATATGTTTATATTGAAAATGCCGCCATCTTGTTCCCAACCTCTTGTTACTTTTAAATATGAATATATAGGATTTAGGTGAACATCCATCATAAAACATGGAAAACAACGTATTTGATGAACCTGATAATGGTCATCAAATATGCCGATTTTAATTTTTTATGATAGATGTCTATTTAAATCTTATATATTAATATTTGAAAGTAACAGGAGGTTGGGAACAAGATGGCGGCGGGAACTCTATTGTCGCCACTGTATGTAAAGGTTTATTTAGCCACTGTAGGTAAAGCTACATCCTCAATCAATCTGGTAGCGAAGTGGCACTTCGGCACGCGTGCTGGGAAATTGATACCCATCCTCAATGCTGTCAATTTTCAGTCAGCTGTGCGTGTAGTACGGTCACGGACCGTGCGTTCAGTATTTTGATCTGAGTTCTCCAAGCATAAATTTATCGTTCGTTTATTTAAAAAGTGTACTCGGTGCAGGCTCATTCATGTTCGATTATTGAAATTTTGAGCCTTCTGATACAGCGTTCAACTGCTCTGTTCGCTCGCTGGTCACGTGATTACAGCTCCGCTCTGCTTTTCGAGCAAAATACCGAACGCAAGGATAACCTGAATTATT